TGCACCAACAAACTCCCCCTCGGATTGTTGGCCTTAGAATCTGCTCCCCTTAGTTCAGAGCCATCCCAGCAAGCTTGCAACACTTCCAATGCTGCTGCTCAACCAGCCTCTTGGTCATCATATCAGCAGGCTGCGCCGTCGTCTTCATGTAGTGCAACTCCACTTCACCCGCGGTTATCATGCTCCTCACCCAATGCCACTTCACCTTCATGTGCTTGGTAAGACCATGAAGAACGGGGTTCTTTGCCAATGCAATAGCACCTTGGCTATCACAGTAGAGTGGGGTAGGTCCTTGGTGCTCCTCCCCCAATTCAGCTAGCAAACGCCGCTGCCACATAACCTCTCTTATGGCACGGAAGAGTGCCATGTAGTCGGACTCCACCGAGCTCAATGCTTGGTCCACTTGTTTCTTGCTCTCCCAAGCTGTTGGTACTCCACCAACACAGCAGATGAAGCCTCCCAAACTTGTCATGTCCTCTGGTTCTGATGCCCAAGATGCATCAGAGAAGGCGGTGAGAAAGAGCCTCCCGGGTTTGACTCCATCTGCACCCTTTTGACGCCTTTGTGCCGCCGCGGACTATTGCAGTCCAACAGTTGCTGTTTGGCCAAGGTACCTGGCCAACCTCTCTCCAGCTGCTACCTGCTATTCATTAGGGCATTGAACAACCCTAGCAAGCTGCCCGGTAGCAAAGGCTGCATCCGGTCTTGCGTGAACGACCGCATACTTGAGGCTGCCCACCAAGGAGTGAAAACGGCGCCTCTCCTCTTCACCAACACTTTCCTCCACCGGTCCTTTCACATACTTGAATCCTGAGGGAAGAGGAGTAGCCACATGACCTTCACTATTCCCAAAGTTTGCAGCCAAGGCCTCCAAGTACTTCTTTTGATGCACTCGCATCCACCGCTTCTCCACATCTCGCTCAATGTGAAGCCCAAGGTAGTAGTTGACGTCACCAAGGGTCTTGCACTTGAACTTGTCATGAAGCTTCAGCATCACCTCCTTCCCAAGGTCAGAGGAGGGTGAGAATATGAGGATGTCACCCACATAAACCACCATGAAGCTCCTCTGCTCCCCCTCGCCAAGCATGAACAAGGATTGATCGGCCGTTGAGGGAGTGAAGCCGATCGCCTCCAAGACTTCCCGCAGCTTGATGTACCATTGCCTAGGGGCTTGCTTGAGGGAATAGAGTGCTTTCTTCAGCTTCCACACTCTGCCACTCCCATCATTGTACCCCTCTGGCTGCTCCATGAGGGTCTCTTCCTCCAAAACTCCGTTGAGGAAGGCCCTTACAATATCCATTTGCTTCACCACCCATCCTTTGATGGCCACCGCGGGGAAGAGAGTTCGAAGGGTTGTACCCTTAACCACAAGGGCATATACTTCATTGTAGTCCTTCTTCTCCTGCTGCTGGTATCCCTTGGCTACAATTCTGCTCTTGTAGCGCTCGATGTTGCCATCGGCGTCGGTCTTGCGGTTGAAGATCCACTTGGAAGAGATCGCGTTCCGCCCCTGAGGTAGATTCACCAAGTCAAATGTGTTGTTCTCTATGATGCTCCCCATTTTGTCATCTGAGGCCTTCTTCCACTCCTTCCAATTGGGGCCCTCCCAAGCCTCCTTGAGATTTGTAGGCTCCCCCGGCATCTCCACCGGAGAGAAAAAGGCAAAAGCGCACTCCTCGCTGTCATCTTCCGCATCATCGCCTAGCATTTAGTGCCGAACCGGTCAAGGTTGAGTTGGCTGGTCTTCCAAGCCGGTCATAGCTCAACCTATTGGGGGGCTGAGTCTTCCTTCTCCCCATTCCTTGCAGGGACTTGGATGCTCTCATGGCGTTGCTGCAAATCTGGTCGGTTCCCGCGAGCACTTGTAGCACGAGGCGGAAGTGACGGTGCACGCTCATCACCTTGCTGCACCTCCTCCTCCTCTTCTCCCCCATTCATTTGAGGAGATTGCCTTGTGATTGTGCTGCTGCTACTCAGCTCCAAGGGCAGCTTCACATGCTCCAAGCCGGTACTCTTCACCTCTCCAAGCCGCACACCACTCTTCCTTGGTTCTCCGCCTTCCACTCCTTGTACGGTAAGTTTTCCATGAACTTGCAATTTCTGATCACCAAGAACTTCTTGGTAAATGGGTCCCAAAGAAGCCATCCCTTGCTGTTTTGAGCCATGCCCAGGTGCACGGCCCATGTTGCCTTGGTTTTAAGCTTGTTGTGCCGAAGTTTCTTAGGCACAAGTGCCATGCACATGCACCCGAACACCCGAAGCATATCCACCTTTGGCTTCCTTCCAATCCACTCCACATAGGGCACCAATTTGTCTTCTCCCACATGATTCAAGGCTGTGTTCATGGCCACACAAGCATGCCGCACCGCATCCGGCCAAAAGTAATTGGGAAGACCGGCTTCAATGAGAAGTCCCCGAGCCGTCTCCGTGAGTGTCCGATTCGCACGCTCGGCGATGCCGTTCATTGCAGGAGAGTAGGGCATGATAAGAGAGTGTCTTATGCCTTGCTTCTTCAGCCAAGTTGAGAAGTCCTTGCTCATGAACTCTCCCCCACGGTCAGTGCGAATCGCCTTCACAAGCCGGTCTTGTTGCCGCTCCACCATCGGCAACCAATCGGTCTTCACCGTTTCAGCTATGTCACTCTTCTTGGGCAGCATATACACCCATGTCATGCGAGTGTAGACGTCCACAATGGTGAGGAAGTACTCTGCTCCAGCAGCTCCAAGCTTCGAGGGGCCCACCACATCCATCACCACCTCATCGAGTGGTGCCTTCGCCGTTGTCTCCAAGCTATAGAACGGATAGCAGGTGAACTTGGCTTGCGTGCATGTTAGACAGCCAAGCACCTCATTGGGCTCCCCCTTGATACATATCCCACTGACCATCTCTTGCTTAACAATCTGCTGCAAAATGGGCAACGCCACATGCCCCATTCGCCGATGCAAGGTCAGCCAATCACACTCTCCCGTAGCGGAAGTCGGGTTGGAGAAAGCGGCACTCGCAATTGTGCCCCACAAGCTCTCTCCTTTCTCCTTTGCCGCTTCTGCTTTGCTGATCTTAGGCTTCTCCTCCTCATTTCCACCACATTTGGCTGCTGCACCATTCTCCTTGGGTTCACACGCCTTGCTGGTCTCTCCAAGATTGCATTCCTTTGAGTCACTCTTGGTGTCACTTTGCTTTCCGTGATCACCGCCACCAACCGCTTCACTCTTGGTGCTGACGCTTGCTGCCACTTGCCTCCCCTTAGGCATAGGGACCACTGGGATTTGCAACATCTCATTGTAGATGTCCCTATCCTTATGAAGGTCCCAAAGCTTCCGCTCACCAAGCCTCGCGGTATAGGTTTTGGATCCCTTGGAAGATGTGTCCATGCCGGCCTTTTGCAAACGCCGCACGGAAATCAGGCTGGCTGCTAGGTTGGGCACCCAAAGCACGTTCTTGAGGCCCAAAATATTCCCATCAGCACCCTTGAACATGGCCTTGCCCATGCATTTCACCTCTGCTCGCTGCCCCAAAGCCGATGTAACATGCTTGACCGGCAACGGTTCGAGCTCGGTGAGCAAGCCCGCACGAGGTGTCATGCTATAAGTGGCGCAACTGTCGATCACCCAAAATTCCAGAGAGTTAAGGGTGACATCTCCCATAGTAGCTGGCTCCTCAAAGCCTTCCACAGCTCCCGCTGCTGCTGCCGCTTGCGTGGAGACAAAGAAGAATTGGCCCGGGTATCGATCTTCACTCGGGCCCGTCTCGTAGTCTCCACCTTTCATGCTTACCGGTTCGCTTCCACGACCACCACGGCCTCCATGACCTCTGCCTCTTCCTCCCCTTGCTCCTCTGCCCTCTTGGCCTTGAGAAGGGGTCCAACCATTAGGCAGTTTGAAGCAATCTCTCCACATGTGGCCGGTCTTGTGGCAAAAGTGGCATTCGCCATCAAATCGACCGCGCCCACGCCCGTAGCCATTGTTGTTGTTGTTGCTGCCATATCCTCCATTACCACGGCCTCCATTGAAGTAGCTGCTTCCAAATCTACCTCCTCGCCCTCTGCCCCTTCCATGGCCGTGCCCACGGCCCATGCTTGCAACTCCGGCACCATCGGGACCCGCCAATTCACGACGGCAGAAATCTTCTTGCAAGTTTTCCCGCTTCACATCTTCGAGCGAGAGGCGGGGCAGATCTCGATTTTGGTTGATGATGAGCGAGGACCATGAGTCTGGAAGTAAGGCCAGCAGCTTGGTCTTCTTTTGAAGGTCACTGTAGTTCAGCTCAGCTTCTTCGAGCCGTGTCAACAAGTCGAAGAATTTCTGCACTCCTTCCTCCACTTGTTCGTCTTCGTCAATTCTAAGTGCCGCCATTTGCCGCTCCAAGACCACAGCCACGACCGCTGTTGCAGGAGCGTGTACACCCTTGAGAGCAGCCCATGCCTTTGGTCCCTTTGCTGGTTCATGCTGAAAAGGCTTGATGTGGCGGATTTGGCTGCTCCCCAACGCTTGCCCCAGTTGAAGATAGCCTTGTGCGCTCTTCCGCACCCACGGGCTCTTCTCCAGGTCGTTCTCGGGGCGCTTCTCCGTTCCTTCCATCACCTCCAGCAAATCATAGTGGTCAAAGATGTTCTCCATCTTGAAGGACCACTCAGCAAAGTTGTCACCGTTGAACTTGTCAAGGCCAAACACTCTAGGCTCATCCCTAGAGGGGCCGAGACTAGGTTGCACAAGAGCAATGGGTTGATCTTGGTTTTGACCTTGTGCTTGGGCGTCTTCTCTGCCTCCAGCAACTCTGCCACCCCGTTCCTCAGGTCTATGCATGGTCGAAATGGCTTCAAGGGGCTCTGATACCACTTGTTCTAACCACAATACGCTCAGATGTGCCTAAAATGATGAAATTGTGCACAGTCAGAATTCCGTCAGACAGCTTCAAATATTGATGCCGATGGCGGCACTTAGAATTGACGAATGGTCAACGAGCACATAGCCCCATGGAACGGAGAAATTCTCTGGAGATGGCTATGATGATTGGGCATGGAAGATGCAGCTCTACTTTCGACAAATTGGCCTCTTGAAGCTCATGATTGGAACGGAGCCCAGGCCAAAGGAAATGGCAGAGCAAGCGGACTGGGATGAACGTTCATCTGCTGGGTATTATCTACTGTCACAAAGCTTGGAGCTGAACCAGAGGCATCACATCATGCATCTGCTACCGGAAACTGATTGTGGGCCCAAGGCATGGGCAGTGCTCAAGGACCTGCACGCTCCGACATCGGTTGCCGCTTCTCTCATGCTGGATCGGGAGCTGTCCATGCTGCGGTTGAGCGAGAATGAACCTGTGCAGCCCGTTCTGGACAAGATGAGGGAACTCTACGCGAAATTGGCGATTGCGGGCATCACGTACCCTGAGCAGACTAAGTGTCTCAAGATGCTCAGCCTGCTGCCCGAGTCTTGGCTGCAATTTATAAGCGGACTCAGCTTGCCACAAAACCAAAGTCAATGGACATTGGAGTGGATTCGCACCAAGATTCTGGAAGAAGATTTTCGTCGCTACACACTGCGCGGAGGTGATGACAGCACCAGCGGCTATGCCATGCAAGGGACATGGAGGGATCGAGGGCGTGGCAATCGCGGTCGCTCTTACTACAGCCAAGGTGGTCGCGGGACTTGGAACCAGCGGGGGCGTGGTGGCGCTGGTGCAAGAGGAAGAGGTGGTCACTCCAACAATGACAACAGTGAACCACGCTTGAGGGGAGAGTGCTGGTATTGCAAGGAAGAAGGGCATCCATGGTTTCGCTGCTCTACCAAGCCCGACTGGTGGACCCCTTGGAACCAATCGCAAAAGGGGAATGGAGGAAAGCAACCACGTGGAGGTGCCAACATGGTAGCTGATCCTGCTGAAGAAACCTCCAAGGATGACAGAGGAATGGGAAATGAGGAGAGGAATGCTGGACAGTTCTACCATGTGTGTGACAAAGATGACAGTGGCACAGCTGTTGCAAGGGCTGGAGAGGAATTGCACCCGCTTGACATGTGGGTCATGGACTCTGGTGCTGCATGGACAATGACACCACGCAAGGACTTGCTGGATGCTGTGCGAGCGCCTCCAATCTCTGAAGTGCGCTCAGCATCCGGACATGCAGTGAAGGTCGCTGGAGTTGGTCGAGCTGCATTCAGAGCACCTGATGGTGGACTGGTTGTGCTGAAGGATGTCTTACTCGTACCGGGGCTGAAGGCCAATCTGATATCGCTGCGCAAGCTAGGCCAGGCCGGAGTCAGCACCACCACCAATGGATCCAAAACATTCAAGGGGCTGCGAGGAGATCGTGTGTTATGGGATTTACACGAAAGCAGGGATGTCTTCAAATCCATGTGGCAGATCCCTGCGCTGATATGGGAATCAACAAAGAAGGAGCTGGGAGTAGTAAAGGCGGGATCTGGAGTCCAGGGGGAGTGCAATGCAGTTAGTGCTGCAGGAGTGATGGTTTCTGCAAGGTCGGGGGAGACTGATTGGGAAACCGCACACAGGCGTCTAGGGCATGTGGCTATGCCATTGCTGCAGCAACTGCATAAGGAAGAAGCAGTAAAGGGGCTGAAGCTTTCTGGGCAACCAAATGATACCAAGTGCGAGACGTGTCTGCTGAGCAAGTTCACACGGTTCCCCTTTCACGGTGTAGCTGGGAAAAGCAAGGCAGCACTGGAACTGGTGCACATGGACCTGGTAGGACCTTTTCCAGTTCAAGGAAGAAAGGGGGAAAGATACTTCCTAACAATAGTTGATGACTGGAGCCGGCTGATGTGGGCATACCCGTTGAAGCAGAAGGATCATGCTGCCTCAACAATACGAGATGACTGGCTGCCGCTCGTCGAGCGACAATCTGGGCACCCATGCAAGAGCATCAGAACCGACCGAGGTGGAGAGTTTCTAGGAGGAGATCTGACTGCGTGGCTCAAGAAACAAGGCATTGAGCATCAGCTAACGACGTCCTATACCCCTCAGTCAAATGGCGTTGCTGAGAGGGCTAATAGGACCATCCTGGAAACTGCGCGAGCGCTGCTGATCGAATCAGGGCTGGGGAACTCCATGTGGCCTCACGCGGTGAGGCATGCTACAGTGGCAAGGAACCGCGTACTCACAAAGGTAGCTGATGATATGTGGGTGCCGCTGGAGAGGTGGCTTGGAAAGAAGCCTCCAGTGGACATGCTCAGAGTGTTCGGATGCATGGCAGTGGCGCATGTCCCTAAACCGTACAGGACAAAGCTTGGAGCATCTGCACTGTGGTGTGTGCACCTTGGGCTTGCGGCAGAGAGCAAGGGGTGGCTACTCTGGGAGCCCTCAAAGAATGTGCTGTTTGACAGTCGGGATGTCAAATTTGTGGAGAACATCATGTATGGCAAGTGGGAGAAGCAGCCGGAGGCAAGGGTCACCCAGCAGCTGGAAGAGATCACTATGCACTTCGATCTGTCCGAACCTGTGGACAGCGAAGTCACTGCGCCAACGGCAAGCGGTACTGATGAAGGAAGCAATGAGGATATTGCAGCTGATGCTGAAGTCAAGGATCCGGAGCAGCAGCAGCAAGAGGCTTCCAAAACACCAAGTCTGCCAAAGCGAAGGAAACAGATTGGTGGGGGGACAAAGGATTGGGTGAAGGTGAAAGAATGGGTAAATCCAACCATCTACCCTGCACGTACCAGAATGGCAACAAGAAAGCTGCTGAGCTCTACAAGTGAAGGAGCCACAACTGAGCAGCAGGAACAGGCTCAAGGCGAAGATACAGTGCTGTTCTTGGGTGATGACCAAGAGTCAGATGACGAGGAGCCTGCATACTGCTTTTACGCACCAATACAACCTCCGAGCATGGATCATGCGCTAGCCGGGCCTCAACGGGGGAAATGGCTCGTTTCAAGAGATGCAGAGTACAACAGCCAGATGGAGAACCACACATGGGACCTGGTGTACTTGCCAAATGGGAAGAAGGCAATACAGTGCAAGTGGCTGGCAAAAATCAAGACGGATGAGAAAGGAGAGCCATCAGTTTACAAGAGCAGGCTGGTGGCAAAGGGGTTTCAGCAGAAAGAGAAGGAAGATTACAAAGAAGTGTTTGCCCCAACTGCTAAGTCTCCAACGCTACGTGTGCTGCTGGCGGTAGCTGCTGTGCGCAAATGGAAGGTGAAGCAGATGGACATCGTAACCGCTTTTCTGTACGGCATTGTGGAAGAGGAGGTGTACATGGTTCAACCACCTGGCTATGAGGATGGAACCGGTCGTGTCTGCAAACTTAACAAGGCCATCTATGGCTTGAAGCAGGCCCCGAGATGCTGGTACAACAGGCTGGCCAGTGCACTGGAAGGGATTGGATTCCGTGCGAGTGCATGCGACGAGAGCCTGTTCCTGATGGGAGAGGGGGAGTCACTTGTGCTTCTGCTGGTGTACGTGGATGACATCCTGCTCTTCAGCAGCAGTGACAAGGAGATCGATGGGGTGCAGCGGAAGCTCACAGAGCAGTTCAAGTGCAAGTCACTTGGACAGGCAAGGTACTACCTGGGAATGCATATTGAGCGGGATACTGAACGTGGCTGGCTCAAACTGCATCAGGGACAATACATCAACACCTTGGCTGAGAAGTACTCTCTGCAGGAAGAACGGGAAGTGGTCACACCTTTGCCTTCCGAGTTCAAACTCATAAAGGCAGCTGAAGGAGAAGGAGTTGAGAGTGAAGACCAGAGGCAATTCCAATCCATGGTCGGGAGCCTACTCTACGCTGCTGTGCATACTCGGCCTGACATCAGCTTTGCTGTGGGACAGCTGGCTCGAGTAGTGCAAAATCCAACAGAAGAGCAGTGTGGTGCAGCGGAGAGAGTGGTGCGCTACCTCAAGTCATACCCTACAGTGGGAGTACAGTATTCAGCCTCTGCTCAACTCAGTCAAAAAGGAATTGAAGTCGTCAAAGAGAAGGGGGAGCAGCTCGGAGAAGGAAAGGTGTTCCTTTCCTGTTTTGCTGATGCCACGTGGGCTTCTGAGCATGAGGATTCATCATCAGTTCGTGGATACATCTGCATGGTGGGAGGTGGGCCTGTAAGTTGGAGGTCCAAGAAGCAGTCTGAGACGGCACTATCTTCAGTGGAATCTGAGTACATGGCGATGTTTCATGCGGCAAAAGAAATCATCTGGCTAAGGAGGCTCTTGAAGGAGATCGGCCATGAACAGACTTGTGCGACACCTCTGTTCAGTGATAGCAAGGGAGCCATTGCCATGGCACGCAATGCAGTTCTTCATGGGTTGAACAAGCACATGAGGATCAAGTGGCATTGGCTGCGGAAGGAGGTGAAGCTTGGGACACTGGATCCGATCTACGTGAAAACTCAGCAACAGCCAGCCGACTTCCTTACCAAGCGGCTAGCTGAAGAGCCACACTGGCGCTGTGCGAGGATGGCGGGAATGTCCTTGAACTAGCGACGGCGAAACAAGCCGACAGTCTGAGGGGGAGTGTGTTGGTGCATATTCGTTTGCACGTCATCCTGTCGTCTGTTCGCATCATTTCGTTGCATGTGTTTTGTGTGCTACGTTGTTTGTATGGTTTGTTGGGTTTGCATGTCTTTGCATATTCATCTTGTGCTTGTGCAGATGTGCTTGGATTGTACATCAGATCGAGCGCATTCCAACGAGCCAAGAATTGTTGGAATCGGAGCACATATGAAGAAGTTACGAAGAAATGTTTGATGGATTTGTTACAACTCATTGGAAGTCCTTGGCAGCTGCTACACCAAAGTTGGAGAGCCCTAAAACGAGGAGGGACCAGCATGTGTGGGACTTTTGTCCCCACCTTGCAGCTGCAGCACTTGGGGTTTGGAGACCAACCTGGCACAGTGTGAATTTTGTCTTGCCAGGCTGGCTGAACCTGAGGATGGGGAGTCAAGACTTTGACTCTTGTCATGTTCTTGACCAAGGGCCTCCAGGGTCCTTCCCTTTCATCCTTCCCTTCCCACCCCACCTTCCAACTATGCTTCAATGCCTTTTCCATCATGTCTCTGAACTTGTAAGCTTCAATAATAGTGACTCTGAGGATTGTCAACTTCTCCTAGGGCAGATTACCCCCCAGTGCGTCAAACGCCATAGCTCACTTGATAAGCTACGGAATCGAGTGATTCAACTTTCAGTGGAAAGCTGACGCTGCCAGCGACAACATATCCGATTTTCAGATTGTTTCATCGATTGGAGTTTTGGATATAGCTTTTCGAAGGTCGCAAGTTTTCTGGGTGTCATAACGAAGTGCTGCAGAAATTTCCAAGGAGCCATTGAATCATCTGCTTATAGCCTTCTCTAACCAACAGAGCTTGACTGGAGAGGTACCACCAAGAGTGAGGATGTGAGACTTGGTGGCTTGTAGATAGCGGAGGACCCTCTTGGCTGCAGACCAATGCGAGGCAGTGTAGCGTCCGGGGGAGACGTACCGAGAAAGGACGCTAACCGGGTAAGCCAAGTCTGGTCGAGTGCACATCATGGCATACATGAGTGAACCGACTAGCTCAGGGTACGGGTCCTTGCAGGCGTCAGGAGAAGGAACTGGAGGGGTCGTGAGCTGATGCTGTAGTGGGAGTGGAGTGGAGACAGAGTTACTGGAGTCCATGTCGAACCGCTTGAGAAGGTTGTCGATGTAGGACTCCTGGGAGAGGGTGATCGTGCAAGCCTGGCAGTCACGAGTGATCTCCATCCCCAGGTAGTTCTTGAGGTCACCAAGATCCTTCATGAGAAGGGCGGAGCTGAGAGCAGACTGGACAGCTGCCATGTCGGCTGGATCTCTGGCGGCTAGAATGAAGTCGTCGACGTAGACGAGGATGTAGAAGGGCTCGGAGGAGTGACGAACGAAGAGACTGGAATCTGAGGCAGAGGGATGGAAGTCAAGTGCGAGGAGGACTTCCTTCACCTTGTTGTGCCACTCACGAGGAGCCTGCTTGAGGCCATACACTGGGCGCTTCAGCTTCCACACTGTGTTGGCAGGGTAAGTGCCAGGAAACCCTGGTGGGCGTTCCATGTGAACATCCTCCTTGAGCTGGCCTTGGAGAAAGGTGGAGGAGGCGTCCATGGACTTGATCTCGAAGTTGCCGCGAGCGGCTATATCAAGAAGAGCGCGCACAGTCGGGAGCTTGGCCGTGGGCAAGAATGTTTCGAAGAAGTTGAGATACTCCTTCTGGGTGAAACCCTTCACCACGTATCGTGCCTTGAACAGTGGAGCTTCGCCTGGGAGTTGTTTGACTCGGAAGATCCATTTTCCGCTGACGATGTTGACACCGGAAGGGGGAACAACATCGTCAAAGCTGTTGTTGCAAATGAACGCCTCGTTCTCCACATCCATTGCTGCCTTCCACTCCTTCTTATAAGGCCCCGAAAGTGCTTCCTCTTTTGTGCGAGGAGTCGGAATGGTCGGGTTCTCGGTGAAGTTGAGGGAAGACAGTCAGTAATGTCCGGGAAGATGTGAGAGAGAAATTGGCAGACCGCGTAAAGTGTTGGTGCATATTCATTTGCACGTCATCCTGTCGTCTGTTCGCATCATTTCGTTTGCATGTGTTTTGTGTGCTACGTTGTTTGTATGGTTTGTTGGGTTTGCATGTCTTTGCATGTTCATCTTGTGCTTGTGCAGATGTGCTTGGATTGTGCATGACATCGAGCACATTCCAACGAGCCAATAATTGTTGGAATCGGAGCACATATGAAGAAGATACGAAAAATTGTTTGATGGATTTGTTAGAACTCATTGGAAGTCCTTGTCAGCTGCTAGACCAAAGTTGGAGAGCCCTATAACGAGGAGGGACCAGCATGTGTGGGACTTTTGTCCCCACCTTGCAGCTGCAGCATTTGGGGTTTGGAGGCCAACCTGGCACAGTGTGAATTTTGTCTTGCCAGGCTGGCTGAACCTGAGGATGGGGAGTCAAAACTTTGACTCTTGTCATGTTCTTGACCATGGGCCTCCAGGGTCCTTCCCTTTCATCCTTCCCTTCCTACCCCACCTTCCAACTGTGCTTCAATGCCTTTTCTATCATGCCTCTGATCTTGTAAGCTTCAATCATAGTGACTCTGAGGACTGTCAACTTCTCCTAGGGCAGATTACCCCCCAATGCGCCAAACGCCATAGCTCACTCGTTAAGCTACGGAATCGAGTGATTCAACTTTCAGTGGAAAGCTGACGCTGCCAGCTACAACATAACCGATTTTCAGATTGTTTCATCGATTGGAGTTTTGGATATAGCTATTCGAAGGTCGCGAGTTTTCTGGGCGTCATAACGAAGTGCTGCAGAAATTTCCAAATAGCCATTGAATCATCTGCTTATAGCCTTCTCTAACCAACATGAAGGTCAAACAGCTCCTCATGCCTGTCCTCCAGAAGTGCACAGGGGGGAATACGGATGGAGAGGACATCACCCCTGGCAGGACGAGGCGGGGTGACCGAACACCGGATGGAGAAGGCGGCTGGTCCCCAAGCGAAAAGGCGGAGCCGGTCCCTTGGAACGAGTGCGACTAGAGACTGGAGACGAAGGCGGCTGCGGTGGGACCGGAGGGACTGGGCGCCTCCGATAGGAGACTAGTGAGCCAGGCTCGACGCGTGGGGAAGGCGGAGCAGGAGGAGGTGCCGCTGCGGAGGATACTGGGGAGGCCGGGTGAGACACGCCGGACGGAGAAGGCCCTGGAGAAAGGGCAGCGGCCGGAGGTGGGGCATCGAAGTCTGCCCAAACAAGCGTCGGGGGAGGTGGAGGAGGCTCGCCCGTGGTCGCAGAGTGGAATGGGCGTGTCTCATCGAAGACGACATCACGGCTGTGAATCAGCTGTCTGGTGATTGGGTTGAGGAACAAGTAGTCTGGGGAGTCGGAGTTGTGCCCCAGGTACATGCAGGTCTGGGTTTTGGGACCAAGCTTGCCACCTTGCTTCCTGCGCGTGTGGGGGCTTAGCAACACATACGCGGTACACCCCCAGACACGTAGAGAGCGGGCGGAAGGCGTGACCCCAAGCCAGAGAGCGGTAGGTGTGGTGTCGGGCCGGTGGGGATGCGGATAAAGATTGTAGAGGAGTGCCGCATGGAAGAGGGCATATCCCCAGAGTGACCGTGGTGCGTTGGCGTGACTGAGGAGGCAGCGAGCGATCTGAACCAAGGTGTGGTTGCGGCTCTCTGCAATGCCATTCTGCTGCGGGCTTTCGGGGAGCGTGAAGGTTTGCCGAATCCCTTGGGCCGCACAGAAGTTATCGAGTTTGCCATTGCGAAATTCTCCCCCGCCATCAGAATGGAGGCACTTCAGGGGAGTACTGAAAGTGACTTGAGCCTGGCGCACCCACGCCATGATGACATCAGGTGCCTCCGCCTTGGTATGCAGGAGGTGCACAGAAACATACCGCGAGTGGTCATCGACTAGTGTAAGAAAGTACCGATGACCGCCTTGGGATGCGACTGGAGCTGGGCCCCAGACATCCATGTGCACTAGGTCCAGCGGAGCAGCTGCGATGGATGGGGAGGAAGGGTGCGGCTGCTGCCTGAGCTTGCTCTTGGTGCAGTCCAGGCAGGTGGGTGCAAGTGAGTCTGTTGGTGGAGGAAGCGCCGACGGGAGGCCAAGAAGAAGTTTCTTGGAAGCGATGTCGGCAAGTGTACGGAAGTTGGGGTCACCCAAGCGATGGTGGTAGAGGATGGTTGGGTTGGCGAAGCTGCGACACGAACACGGAGTGGTGCTGGCAGCTTGCGCTTGGGAGAGGGCGGCGAGAGGTGCAGGTGAACGCAGCGTGTAGAGCTTGCTACTGTTGAGTGTGAAGCGTGCTAGGAGCTTGTTGGACTTAGGGTCGAAGAGGTCACAGTGATTCGAGTGTGCTGGGAAGATCGTGGTGACGCCTGCCCGTTGGAGCTCGTGTTGGGCCACGAGATTGTGGCGTAGTGTGGGAACACACATGCCGGTCACACTGCCCGAAGGAAAAGCTGGGCACGGAACTGTGGAGGAGCCCTTGGCGTGTGTTGTGAAACTGGAGTCTGCTCCAAGTAGACGGATTGGAGTCTCGTATGGCTTGAAGGAGTGTTCTTCCTTGAGAACCGTGTGAGTGGCCCCACTGTCGAGGGTGAACTCTATTGTGGCTAAGGTGCTTTGTGAGCCAGGATACTGCGAAATCGTCTCATTAATCATGGCAGTGCCAGGGAACGACATGTTGAGGCGCACATCAGCAGGTGCAGCCACAGCAGCCTGCACGGATTCCTGCGCTTCGACTTGATTGACTTGGCGAGGAGCACGATTGACCATCCAGCTTGGCGGCTTCGAGGCGGTCCCATTGACGGCATACCAATCGTCATCCTTCTTCTTAAAGCAGGAGGCAAGGGCGTGGTTGGTGCCGCCACACACCTGGCCAGCACGAGGGCCGCGCTTGATGACGTAGGGACACGGGGGGAAGCGGTTGCGCTGGAATGGCACCGAAGCGGCATAGGCTTGAGGCACGGGAGCGCGGATTGCATTGGCCTTGGCTTGAGCGCTGTTGTCCTTTTCGGCAGAAAGGAGCGCGGATGAGACCTTGGGAAATGTGAGGTCTGCAGGAGCAAGGCCCAAGAGCATCTTGCGTGTGACTTCGTATGCCGGAGTGAGGCCGACTAGGAGAGCGGCTACAGGGGCTTGCTCGGGGAAGACTATCCCCAACTGTTTGAGTTCACCATGAATGGACTGCACCTTGGTGACATAGTCCGCCATGCCTGGCGAGTCCTCAAGCCGCACTTGGAACATGCTGGGGATGAGTATAGCAACTCCCACTGCAGTCTTGTTCAGGAAGCGATCCTCGAGGTAGAGCCAAATGGCGTTGGCAGACGGGTAGTTGTGGTAGGTTTCGACGAGTTCGGGAGGAGTGGTGCCCATGAAGACACTAATGACCGCACCATCGGCCTTCTCCCAATTCTTGTACTTGAGCAGTGCAGCAGCATAAACTGCTTCAGCGGCGGCATTAGCTGGATCGGCGGACCTCTCGGGTTTAGGAAGCTCTTTGCGATCACCGATGTTGAGAAGGACGTCGGTGAGCTCGAGCCCCTTCACCTTGCGACTGAG